TGGTAACTAGTTACTATTACAACACCAGATGAATGCTGTCAGCCAACAAGGACACTAACAAAAGCGTAACTACCACATCAGTGAAAATCTTGAGGTTGTTAGCTTTTTCAGAAAGAAATCCCCTGGATCTCTGATACAGGGCCACAAGACATCCTCCTCCTCTCACATAATTTAATATCACAAGTTCATTTTACCAGACAGAGCAAAGTGGGCTTGCTTTAACAGTGTCTCTTTTACAGGATCCTCTCCCCTAATTATGCAAACACATTTGCTTACACAAAAACATCTGAGCCACGGGTCCTAAGTATCACTTTAACCAACTATCACAAATCTCATAAGTGGACATAAGATGGAAAACACCATTTAAAAAGTTAGCAAAATAGTTATAGGCATCATAGCCTCCTCTCAAAGAAGTCAACACATCTAGATACAAGCTGCATGTTTTTCCTCCCTTCCGCCACTCAAACTAGAAATTTTGCCTCAAGGAAAGATTACCAGGCTTTGCAACAGAAATTATCAAGTTCACATAGGTCTATCATTAATGACTTTAAATGCCCCTTTTATTCACTGTGCATTAAAACAAAGTTTAATCTCATCTTGCACTTCTAGATTATTTATACCATATTAAAATCAGTCAGCTATCAGCCAATCCAGATGAGCTTCTCATTTAAGAAGTAAACACCTGAGATCAAGAAAATACATTGTCTGTTCCCATATTAATACTGTATGTGAACCAAATGGAAGAAATACTCAGAAATGCACCAACATTTAGGACTTAATTTTCATTAAGGATCTTCTCCCTCTAAACATTTGAAACTCACAAATATCTAAGTGACTTAAAACATAATGTACTTTCACATTTTTTTTCTTTGGTTCAGGCAGTTTGAAAAGACCAGCAATGACATAGAACAGAAAAATTGCTATAAAACTATGAAGTAAAAAAACTTATGTTGTAAAGACATTTAACTTTCTCCCTGCAGAATTATATTACCAGAAGCTGGACAGAAAAGCTGCAGGCACAGGGTGCAAGAAATTGACAGCTAGGAGCAGCATGTCTATTTGTGGTTGTTTTACCATTAGACCATTAGGTTTGGTGGCCATTTGGAAAATGCTATCAGAGCTATTCTAATACCCTTGATTTCTAATTTCAGCTATATGGTCAGAGAAAGAGAACTGACCTCTGCACATCCTTCACTCTTACATAGCTCCCCAAATACCTAATATCCAATACCTGAACTGAGCTCTGTCCCAAGCAGTATCAAGGACTTCCACACATTTGCAGGTAGAGCACCTGGAGACCGAGTGTCCTGAAGAAATCAGCATTCACCTAAGCACTGTTATTCAGGTGTGGAGAACAAGTCTTGGTCAAGCAGTGGAAAAAGCTTGACTTCCATGCAATGCTCACCAGTAGGTGTTTCTCACCTTTCCACCACAGGTACACCAACAGCAGGATGAGACAGTCCATCCTTTCCACATTTTCAACAAAGAAAACTAAAGTTAAACACAGCTAAACAGAAGCTCAGTAGCCAGAGTCCAATCAAGAACCATAAAGTACAACAAGGTTGTTGCATTTGAGATAGTACCACATTTGACTTCTGTCATTTCCCTACATGTTCAAAAGGGAAAAAGGATGGGGATTTTGAAACTATTCATCTAACTAATTTGACTTGCCAGCAGTAGATTGGCAAAAGCTTGTATTCCTTATTCATGACCTAACATTTTACTTAGGAGTGCAACACTGAAATGCTGTTATGCTGAAGCCTCACCACTCAGCAATTGCATCTCACCAATTAAAATTAATTATAGCTGTTGAAAACCTTAGAGTGCAAGCCCTTCCAAACTGCAAGAGCACACTAATCCTGCTCCAGTACTTCAGTTTCAGGAAGGAACAAACTTATTTTCTAGCTAGCATTTAACTGCAGCTTCCCCGTCTTTAGACAGGTCTAAACCCCAAATCTAGTTTTGTTAGTATCTGGATCCTACCCTAATCCAAGGATTTTGGTTCTGAAGCCTAAAGCCATCTTTCCAATGAAATAAAACCACTGAACAAGAATGGCTCACAATTTTTTTTTGTCCTCCTGTACAAAGACCGAGACAGATACAGGCAACAGTACAACTGGACTGAAAAAACTGCTGAACAAGTACAGAGGATTAATGCCCGCATAGAACCTCAACACTGTTAAGTTTTTAACTCTCCAGCTCTAAGAGTAACAAGCACAAGTGTATCTCCAGAAAAAAAGACAAAACACGACTTGCTGCAATTTTTCCCACAAAAAAAGCTGAGATTGATTTTCATGATGTTATACTGCATAGGAAGTCATTTTGTCTTCAGCAGCACAGTGATGATGGCTTCCACTCAGCCTTGTTCACCTGAACACAGAATTTCTGCAGAGAAAAGGGCCTAACTGGCAGTTTATAGAAACTTTCAAAATGCCATGAATAAAACTTGACAGAACCCTCTGAATGTCCTCCCAATAAAACTCCCCAGCTGAACTGAGAGTACTCTGCAAGTCAAAAAGATAACACAGCTATTCACACCTCCTCCCGATAAGCTTCCTTCAGGCAAACTCATCCTAGAAGCACAGGCCTTAATCCCATGGTGATTAAAGACTCTGTCATTCAGTTAGACTATTTCAATCCAGACCAAATTATTCACTTTCATATTTCACATACTATCTCATATTACCTGGCCTCTGGTATCACTTCCAGATCTGCACAGCAAACAGACAGCACTGCTTAAGGAGAGCCAGCAGCCCTCCTCAGTTTATACAGATTGACACCAAATTTCTCTGGAGCAACTGAATAAAGTTTTCTTTCTACATTTAGAGGCATAAAATAAATTCTGGATTAAACTGAAAATATCTAGTAGTAAGACTCGATTTAAACTGAAGCACACATAATGGAAACTAGTAAGACTCAGGGAATTTTTACAGATTTCTTCACATGCAGTCCACTCAAGAACTCCTAAATAATTGTGACTAGAAACAAGAAAACCAATCATCAGGTAAGCTTAATACTGAAGCTTTCCCTTCCCGGTCTTTCCTAGATGTAAATGACCCAAGCACTGGAATTTCAACACACCTCGTTCTCCAATGCATTTGACATTCTTGTAGTTAATGCTAATCTGTTACAGAAAATATGTTGAAAATACATCCATTTCAGCTCCCCTGCTAGACCATACTGAGAAAATTTGGCAACAAGATGAATTCCTGATCTGTGCGATAGCTCTACAGTGACAGATAGCCTGCCTGGTCAGACAGCTCAATAGCATCAGCCTTTTCCCATGGACAAATCTTCTCACCAGAAGCATCCCAATTATCCACCTGAATGAATTTCAGGCTGCCAAAGCAAAAGCCTTCTATGCTTTTATGCTTTTTTCAGTTTCCAGCAGAAGCCAGACAAAGACCAGGCCTGCCTGCAAGGCTTTCTTCCTGGCAGTGCTCACCACACTCAACTCCCCTTTAAACACCTTTAGCAATCCCATGTCCTCTCTCCTCTCCCCTTTCCCCAGGGAGCCCTCCAGGACCCCCTCCAGGCTGGGACGAGGGATTAAACCCCTTAGCACCAGCCCATCATCTCCTTGGCTCTGCAGCCCTACCCTGCCCAGCTGCTGATGCTCTACATTCTGCATCCCTGTCTAATAAAAGGCAGGGGAACACATCATTATGAAGACTGAGAAGTATTCCCATTCTTCTTATTTAGGAAGTAGTGCTGCAGTGAACTATGATTGTAATGTGTAATGAAATCATTAGGAAATAAAGATGTGGCTGCACATCCATCCCCACCCATGCCAGGAAGCCAGGAGTGATTTACAAACAGATTGGGCCAGCATTAAAAGAGACAATCAGGAGTTCAGGTTAATTATATTACATTATTTACATGCTACTCTCAAATACTCTCATAGGAAATAAAGCTCAATCAGCCAGTGGAAAATTAAGGAATTCAAGTTATAACCAAGAGTTAAATCTTCCATGTTTCACCAAAATTACAGATTAGCTCAGATTAAGAAAAAAAAAAATAAAATCCTGTTTAGGTTTTTCTCTTAGATAGGTCTAATTGGGGAATGGATGGTTCGAATGGAACTAACATTCGAACGGATGCTAACAGAAACGAGCTAAGAAAGAGCTGCTAAAAGCAACTTAAAAATATAAGCATACACTAGTGACGTTTTTACAGAAGTGAGATATATAAAAACCACTAAGAAAAGGCTAACAGCTATCTCCCAAACCAGCAGAAGACAGTACTTAAATCTTCACTCTTTAGGTATTGCTAGATGACCATGCTCTAAAGATCTAGAACTCAAATCATATCTTTTATTTAAAAATATTCCTTTTACAAGGTATTTGGATAGATGAGTCTTTGACCTAACTGAAGCACTAGCTGTCCTTGCCTAAAAAAAAAAAAGCATTCAGGTACTTGGGGAGGATGTGATTCCCATGAAGCTGGTGACAGTCACAGTTTCATAGCTGGGAAAAGGGCAAAAACGGGGGCAGCAGATCTGTAATCTTTATAAAAGCATCAGGCATTAATATTTGTAGCAAAAGGTAAGTTCACTCTTGCAAACGCACTCCCAAGTTCATTAGGGGTTCAGTGTCTTTTAATATAGAGCTGCTCCACTTCTAAACCGGCTGCTGTTTTCCGAGGCGCCAGCCGGGGCAGGGGAGACAGGGAGCTCCCCCCGGCTCTTTTCGGCGCACTTTGCGCATTCGGAGAGCGCAGCTCGTGACCTCTTTAGGCAATACGACCGGTCCTACGCTCCCATCATCAGTGCCGGCAGTCAGCTCCAGGGCCGAGAGGGTTAAGCCCGGGAGGAGTGTACATAAGGTGGTAGATTCAGAGCCAATGAGAATATTGCGCTATAGTTAGACACTGGATACTAAGGTATGGCGACTATAAAGGCTGCTCAGAGCTGAGCTTCTCTATGACACCGGCATGTTGCCTTTAGTGCCTAGGCTTACAAACCAGGAAAAAAAAAAAGCAGGAGGATCAGCTCGGCTTACCTGAAGCTCACACCATGCAACTTCCACCCACGTCTCTGTATCCAGACCCTTATAGACCGTTTTGAAGGATCCCCTCCCGAGTTCAATATCGAACTTTAGGAACCTGCCATCCAGCGAGGTGGCAACCGCTTTCATATCAGCCTCCTCCTCAGGCTCCTCTTTCTTAGCCTTGGTCTGATCTTTGGAAGCGTCAGACGCCTCTTTCCTCTCCACATCTCTGCCAGCTTCCTTCTGCTCCTCAGCCCCTAAGACAGCGTCAGGGGCTGGCGCTGCCTTCAGCTCCCCAGAAGGCTCAGACTCCAGGCGCACCTTCTCCGCAGCGCCTTGCCCGGCTTTTGCCCTCTCCGCAATTATCCTCCTGGTTTTAGGGAGCAAGATAATTTTCCTCTGATTCTCTGACTCGGGAAGGTCAAAAGCAGGTTCCTCCTGGTCCGAGTCCACCACACTCCGCCGCAAGAACCGCTGATGGACCATTTTGGGATCCCTGGAGCAGGTGGTGCGGAGCGGCGGGGAAGGTGTTCCTGGGGCTCCCGGCATTGCAGCAGCGTCCGCCCCGCTCCTCCCGCCACCGACGGGCCCATCAATATTCATGATCCTCTCCGCAGCCGAGGGAGCGCTGGG